TGGCAGGTCTGGCCTCAACGTTCGGCCACATAGGCGCTTCCAAAAAGGCAGGGGGCGGCGGTTATTCGCCGAAGGCGTCTTCGATCCGCCGCCCCCTTTTGATTTCTCAAAGGGGTGCCTGGCGTGCTGGATCCTGCCGGTCTTGGTTTTGGTTCTTTTTCCAAAAAAGCTCCCCCTGGGGCTTCGGCCCGTCCCGCCGGCCACCCGGAAGGATGCCGAAAGATCTTCCAGAGGTGGTTGCAAAGAGTTTTTCCGTCCCAGATGGCTCCAAGATGGCCCAAGATGGCCTCCAAGACGCCTCCAAGACGGCCAAGATGGCCTCCAAGACGGCTAAGATGGCCCCAAGATGCCTCCAAGACGGCCCAAGATGCACCCAAGACGGCCTAGGATGGCCTCAAGATGGCCCAAAACGGACCAAGACGCTTCCAAGAGGCCTCCAAGACGGCCCAAGAGGCCTCCAAGAGGTCCTCCAGGAAGGCCCGAAGAGGTCAAACTCATTGATGCTCCTTAGGTTTTTGCAGTATTTTGGTATTTGCGCCTTTTCGGCTTTCCGACGGCCCAAGACGGCCCAAGAGGCCCCCAAGGTCGCCCCAAGATCGCCCAAGAGGCCTCCAAGATGACCCCATGACTTTCCAAGAGGCCCCCAAGACGGCCCCAAGGGGTCCCCAAGACGGGCCAAGAGGCCTCCAAGACGCCCAAGATGGCCTCCAAGACGGCCCCGAAGCGCCCCAAGAGGGCCCCAAGTCGGCCCAGAGAGGCCCCCAAGATGGCTTCTGACGGCGTCAGACGTGCCAGGAACCCACCAAGATGGCCGAAGTTGTCTCGAAGCTGACCCAAGACGGCCCAAGAGGCCTCCATGAGGCCTCCAGGAAGGCCAGAAAGGCCAGAAACATGTATTCCCCTTTGGTTTTTTTGGATGTTGACATTTGCTTCTTTTCGGCCTTCCGACAGCCCGAGACGGCCCAAGAGCCCCCAAAAATCGCCCAAAGATCGCCCAAGAGGCCTCCAAGATGGCCCCAGAACGGCCCAAGAGGCTCCCAAGACGGCCCAGGAGGCCTTTAAGACGCCCAAAATGGCCTCCAAGACGGCCCTGGAGCGTTCCAAGAGGGCCCCAAGTCGGCCCAAGGAGACCCCCCAAACGGCTTCCGATGGCGTCAGCGGCCCCGCTCCGATAGAACGCTCAAGGGTGAGAGCCTCCAAGGCATTCCCGTTAGCCGCGCAGCATGACACATTTGACGTGCTCGTCTGGGAGGGCAAACCTGCGCTTTCGTTTGCCCTCCTGCATTCCCAGGCATGTGCTGAATAATACCGCAGGTCCAGAGCCTCACAAATTACCCTGGCGACGTACCCAACCCCTGCGCAATGCAGAGCACGAGTAGCCTGGGAGACGTTATACAGAGGTGATGACGTGACATGGGCGCATATAATTCTGCGAGCGGCATTCGTGAGGCTCGCAGCCCCCCAGGGATGGCGAGGTCCTCCTCAAATCTGCGTGGTGCCTCACTCCGCTGGACCCCCCAGCAGCCCTCGAAATGGTGACTGTTTCACAGATCGCAGCCCACCAGGGACGGCGAGGTCCACCTCAAATCTGCGCGGTGCCTCACTCCGCTGGACCCCCCAGCAGCCCTCGAAATTGGCGACAGTTTCACAGATCGCAGCCCCCCAGAGATGGCGAGGCCTAATCTGAATCTGCATAAGACGTCACTCCGCTGGACCCCCCAGCAGGCCTCGAACGTGGCGCCAGTTTCGCAGATCGCAGCCCCCCAGGGATGGCGAGGTCGAATCTGAATATGCGTAAGACGTCACTCCGCTGGACCCCCCAGCAGCCCTCGACAGTGGCGACAGCTTCGCAGATCGCAGCCCCCCAGGGATGGCGAGGTCTTATATGAATCTGCATAAGACGTCACTCCGCTGGACCCCCCAGCAGGCCTCGAAAGTGGCGACAGTTCCAGGGATGGCGAGGTCTTATATGAATCTGCATAAGACGTCACTCCGCTGGACCCCCCAGCAGGCCTCGAAAGTGGCGACAGTTTCACAGATCGCAAAACCCTCCAGGGATGCGAGGTCGAATCGAATATGCGAAGACGTCACTCGCTGGGGACCCCCCAGAGCCTCGACAGTGGCGACAGCTTCGCAGATCGCAGCCCCCAGGGATGGCGAGGTCTCTAAAATTAAGTCTGAGTGGACGACACTCCGCCTGCCACCCAGCAGTCTCGAAAGTGCCGAAGGCTTCACAGATTTCCCACCCCCCCCAGGGATGGCGAGTTCGAATCGGAGTCTGAGTGGGCGCACTCCGCTGGACCCCCCAGCAGCCCGTCACTGTGCTGGGGGGCCCCCCAGCAGGCCTCGAGAGTGGCGACAAGCTTCGCAGATGCAGCCCCTCAGGGATGAGCAGAGGTCCAATTCATCTGAGTCTGGGTAGTACGTCACTCCGCTGGACCATTCCCAGCAGTCCTCGAAAGTGGCGACAGTTTCACAGATCGCAGCCCCCCAGGGATGGCGAGGTCTAATTTGAATCTGCGTGTGGCGTCACTGTGCTGGGCCCCCCAGCAGGCCGCGAAAGTGGCGACAGTTTCACAGATCGCAGCCCCCCAGGGATGGCGAGGTCCCATTTGAGTCCGCCGTGTGTACCCACTGTGCTGGGCCCCCCAGCAGCCCTCGAAAGTGGCGACAGTTTCGCAGATCGCAGCCCCCCAGGGATGGCGAGGTCTGATTTGAATCTGCCCGTGGCCCTCACTGTGCTGGGCCCCCCAGCAGGCCTCGAAAATGGCGACAGTTTCGCAGATCGCAGCCCCCCAGGGATGGCGATGTCTAATTTGAATCCGCGCGTGGCCCTCACTGTGCTGGGCCCCCCAGCAGGCCTCGAAAATGGCGACAGTTTCGCAGATCGCAGCCCCCCAGGGATGGCGAGGTCTAATTTGAATCCGCGCGTGGCCCTCACTGTGCTGGGCCCCCCAGCAGGCCTCGAAAGTGGCGACAGTTTCACAGATCGCAGCCCCCCAGGGATGGCGAGGTCGAATTTGAATCTGCGCGTGGCGTCACTGTGCTGGGCCCCCCAGCAGGCCTCGAAAGTGGCGACAGTTTCACAGATCGCAGCCCCCCAGGGATGGCGAGGTCTAATTTGAATCTGCCCGTGGCGTCACTGTGCTGGGCCCCCCAGCAGGCCTCGAAAGTGGCGACAGTTTCACAGATCGCAGCCCCCCAGGGATGGCGAGGTCTAATTTGAATCTGCCCGTGGCGTCACTGTGCTGGGCCCCCCAGCAGGCCTCGAAAGTGGCGACAGTTTCACAGATCGCAGCCCCCCAGGGATGGCGAGGTCTAATTTGAATCTGCCCGTGGCGTCACTGTGCTGGGCCCCCCAGCAGGCCTCGAAAGTGGCGACAGTTTCACAGATCGCAGCCCCCCAGGGATGGCGAGGTCTAATTTGAATCTGCGTGTGGCGTCACTGTGCTGGGCCCCCCAGCAGGCCTCGAAAGTGGCGACAGTTTCACAGATCGCAGCCCCCCAGGGATGGCGAGGTCTAATTTGAATCTGCGGTGGCGTCACTGTGCTGGGCCCCCCAGCAGGCCTCGAAAGTGGCGACAGTTTCACAGATCGCAGCCCCCCAGGGATGGCGAGGTCTAATTTGAATCTGCCGTGGCGTCACTGTGCTGGGCCCCCCAGCAGGCCTCGAAAGTGGCGACAGTTTCACAGATCGCAGCCCCCCAGGGATGGCGAGGTCTAATTTGAATCTGCCCGTGGCGTCACTGTGCTGGGCCCCCCGCAGGCCTCGAAAGTGGCGACAGTTTCACAGATCGCAGCCCCCCAGGGATGGCGAGGTCGAATTTGAATCTGCGTGTGGCGTCACTGTGCTGGGCCCCCCCGCATGCCTCGAAAGTGGCGACAGTTTCACAGATCGCAGCCCCCCAGGGATGGCGAGGTCTAATATAAGTCTGCGTGGGGCGACACTCCGCTGGCCACCCCAGCAGCCCTCGAAAGTGGCGATCGCTGCACAGATCGCACCCCCCCAGGGATGGCGAGGTCTAATTTGAATCTGCGTGTGGCGTCACTGTGCTGGGTTTCCAGCAGGCCTCGAAAGTGGCGACGGTTTCACAGATCGCAGCCCCCCAGGGATGGCGAGGTTGAATTTGAATCTGCGTGTGGCGTCACTGTGCTGGGCCCCCCAGCAGGCCTCGAAAGTGGCGACAGTTTCACAAATCGCAGCCCCCCAGGGATGGCGAGGTCTAATTTGAATCTGCGTGTGGCGTCACTGTGCTGGGCCCCTCAGCAGGCCTCGAAAGTGGCGACAGCTTCGCAGATCGCAGCCCCCCCAGAGATGGCGAGGTCTAATTTGAATCTGCGTGTGGCGTCACTGTGCTGGGCCCCCCAGCAGGCCTCGAAAGTGGCGACAGTTTCACAGATCGCAGCCCTCCAGGGATGGCGAGGTCGAATCTGAATATGCGTAAGACGTCACTCCGCTGGGCCCCCCAGCAGGCCTCGAAAGTGGCGACAGTTTCACAGATCGCAGCCCCCCGCAGGCAAGACAGGAGGAGGCAAGAGGGAGGCGGGAAGGAAGGAAGGAGGGAGTGGAGACCACACTGCTCTATGCAGGGTTGGGAAAAATGTCCTCTGCGGCGGATCTCGGAGGCCGCATGGTGGACACCGCGCTTCCAGCGCTGCGTATCGATCCCGGCTCGACCCGAACCCCGCCACCCGTGTGCTTGCTTGCCCGCCTCCTTCTGCCACTCCTCCTCCTCCTCCTCCTCCTCCTCCCCCTCCTCCTCCTCCTCCTCATCTGAGCCTCGTCCTCCTCATCTGAGCCTCCTCCACCTCCCCCCCTCCTCCTCCACCACCTCTTCCTCCTCCTCCTCCCCCTCCTTCCCCTCCTCCTCCTCCTCCTCCTCCTCCTCCTCCTCCTCCTCCTCCTCCTCCTCCCTCCTCCTCCCCCCGCGCGCAGGGCGGAGCCGGGCGCGCCGGGGGGCGGCTCGGCCCCACGGCGGGGGGAGGGCGGCGCCCGGCGCCTGGAGCTGCACGCGCTCCGCGCGCTCCACGGCGCTGAAGGCCTCTGCCCCGCGCGGGCGCCGCGTCGCCGCCGACGGCGCCGACGTCGACGTCGACGTCGTCGTCGTCGTCGTCGTCGTCGTCGTCGTCGTCGTCGTCGTCGTCGTCGTCGTCGTCGTCGTCGTCGTCGCAGGTGGGACGTGGAGGGGCGATGAGGCGGGGCGGGATGGAGGGAGAGAGGGAGGAAGGGCGGGAAGGAAGGAGGGATGGAGGGAGAGAGGGAGGTGGGGGGGGAAAAGGGGATGGGCGAGCCAGGTTCGATCGCGTCATATCTCACGTCCTACCCCTCCCTTCCATCCCTTACCATGGCGTAGATTTCCTCTCTATTCGCGCAGTCGGATGTCGTAGCACGGCATAGCATGAAATGGCATAGCATGGTGTTGAAGATCAGCGCGTAGCCTGACATAGTGGCGTGGCGACGCATCGAAAAAACGAATCGACACCGAATGTGTAAGCACATCCGATGGTTATCTCGGGGGGGCCATTTTCTAGACTTTGGGGCCTCTTTGGAGGGACCGAAAACCATGCCGTGACATGGCGTTCAAAATAATGACGACAACGCTGCAGCGGGAGCACGATTCGGAACGAGCGCAAGCTCGGAAATGAGGCCACCGCTGCAGCGGGAGCACGATTCGGAACGAGCAGAAGCACGAAAATGAGGCCAGCGCTCAAGCGAGAGCAGCATTTTGACAACAAAGACCAAGCGAAAACCCGTTTGTTGGGAATCCTGGGTAAAAAAACAATGCGCGGAGGGGGTCGAATATTTTTTGGACGTCGCCAGGGGAGAGAGGAAAGTAGTATTCAGATTGTGTACTTGTGGAGAGGAGGGAGAATGAGGGAGAGGAGGAGGAGGAGGAGGAGGAGGAGGAGGAGGAGGAGGAGGAGGAGGAGGAGGAGGAGGAGGAGGAGGAGGAGGAGGGGTGGAGCGGGGATGGGGGTAAAGAGAGGGAATGATGAAGGGGATGTGATGATACGGAGGATAAGGGCGAAGAGGAGGGGCGACGGGAAGGATAGCGCGAAGAAGGGAGAACGAGGGAAGGCAGAGGGGGACGAGGAAGGGAGGGGGGACACTACCTTCCCCTCCATCCACGTCCCCCCCTCCCCAACGTATTGTGTCATCCTCCCCTAACTCCTCGATCCGCCCCTCCTTCTCCCTTTTTCCCCGATCAGTCTTCAGAAACGTATCTCTCTGCTTCTCTCTCTCTGTCTTTTTTTTGTTCTCTCTCTCTCTCTATTTCTCTCTCTCTCTCTCTCTATGCGTACTCCTGACGCCGCCGCGCGTGTCACCGCGGGGCGGCGCGAAACACGCTGCACGGCCAGGAGCAACTCGCAAGCCCGCCCGGCGTTGCTCCACAGCGCCGTGCCGAAGGAGCACTTGTGGGGCCGCACCCGGAGGCAGACACCCCATACACTGCCTGCCCCTCCGGAGGGCAAATGCAAGCGGCCATACCCTGTGACCAAAGCCACACGGAGTCGCACCCTGAAGCCGACACCCCTGCGCAGAACCACAATGCCCCCGCGTGGGCGGCGCACCCGACTCGACGTGGAACCCGCGCCTGCCGCGAGCGCGTCCTGAAGCCAGGAGGTCAGGGGGAAGGGGAGGAGGAGGGGGATGGGGGAGGGGGAGGTAGAGGGGGAGGAGGAGGAGGAGGAGGAGGAGGAGGAGGAGGAGGAGGAGGAGGAGGAGGAGGAGGAGGAGGAGGAGAAGGAGGAGGAGGAGGAGGCCGCGTCCTTGTCCGCCCGGTGCTCCTCGGGCACGGCCACGCACACCGGAGCAGGGCTGGACCGAAACGCTACACCGAAGTCCAACAGAACAGCGTTCTTGGTCCAGCCCTGCGCGGGCGAGGCCGCCACAAAGCCGCCAGGATGGCAGCGCCGTGGGCCTGCGCAGGGCCCTCGGGTGGAAGCTCGTCCGTCTCCTCGCCCTCGTCTTGCGCGGCCGGCTTTCACCGCCTGCGGCGCGCGCGCGAGCACGGAGCCCACGAGCGCTGCGCCGGCGCGAGCGCCGCTCGCTGCCCTCCCAGCGGCAGCTCGGCCAGCTCCCAGCCGCCGCACCCGCGGCTGCCTCCGCTGGCTCCGCCGCCGCCTCGGCCACTCCTCCTCCTCCTCCTCCTCCTCCTCCTCCTCCTCCTCCTCCTCCTCCTCCTCCTCCTCCTCCTCCTCCTCCCTCCTCCTCGGAGCGCCCCATCAACGACAGGGCCGCCAGCATCACCAGCACGAGCCTCTGGCCCTCCGCGCGCGACGAAGGGCGGCGCACGGCGCGCCCAGGCAGGCACCGCCGCGGCTGGACCGGCGGCCGGCGCTGCGGGGGCCTCCTCCTGGGCGGGGAGCTCCTCGGCCACCGCGACACCCGTCCCGAGAGTTGTGGATGCCATGGCAACGGACAGTCTAACCTGTTTACCATTGAACTGAACACGTCGTAGACATGTCTTCCACATGTTTCGAGCCTGCTCGAAGCAGGCTGACCACATGGTCTGGCACTTTGGCAACATAGGCTAAGCATGTTTTATACATCTGGAAGTGATTTGGCAGTATGCCGCCTCTCCCTTCGTCGTCTTCCACAACCAGCAGAGACTGCAACTCGGCGACCGCGGCGCGACACGTGCCCTCCGCCCGTGTTCCGCAGCAGGCGGCAAGGCGGCCGCGGGCGGCGGAAGCGCGAACCAAAGCCTGCCGCCCCGTGCGCGGCCAGGCACACGCCCAGGCGGGCGGCCGCCAACGCATCCGTCAGCGCACGGCGCTGCGGTGGCACGGACAACAGCGGCTTCGGGCGAGCGGGCGAGAATGGGTCTCTCTCTCTCTCTTTCTCTTTCTCTCTCCCCTCTCTCTCTCTCTTTCTCTCTCTCTCTCTGTCTCTCTCTCTCTCTCTCTCTCCTCTCTCCCCCTCGTCTCTGTCCCGCCTTATCCTCCGCTCCTCCTCGCCTATGCCCAGTCTCCTACACACCCACCAGATCATCATCCTTCCCTCGCGCCTCATCGTCTTCTCGGTGCTCATCCCTCGCACCGCTCCCACCCCCCCTCCCTCTCCTCCTCAGCCTCCCTCTCGCAGCCTCTTCCACATGCCCACGTGAGCCCGCATCGTCAAACACATACACATTGAGGGATGGAACAAACACCGTACCCTGGGTTACAAGTGCGTGGTCTGTAAACCTCTTGGGAACCCCCAAAGCCTAGAGCCGCCAGGACGCGGCACATCACGCAGGGTTTACCCTGTCAGCCCACAGGAGTTTCAGCGCACAGCGCCTCGTAAACCAGAGTAGGGGCGTTTTATCTGCCCTTGAGCGCAATAACATTGACGGAGATGGGAGGAAAAGGCACTTCGCGTCGCCACCGCAAGCGTCGTGATGCAACACACGAGCGCATGCGAGGCAAAAGGAGGGGTGGGGACCCAAATACTTCCCCGACAGACACGACACGCACACGCACGCATAGATCCTGATATGTATGGAACAGATCACTGGGACATACATTAGTGTATCTATATAGACCGTGGAAATTATCCACATATCTCTCTCTATATCTATGTGCATATGCTGGCACGTGCGTGCCCAGGCTCAAACAAACAACTATACAGGACGTAAGTGTGGCGTGTAAGCTGTGTATGATGAGTGATGTGTGTTGTGCGTGTCTTGTGTGTCGTACATGTTACGTGCAAGTTATGTGTGGAACATGTTGTTATGCATGTTATGTGTGTTCGGTGTGTGATGTGCGAATTGTGTGTTGCGTGGGCTGGGTTTGATGTATGTGATGTGTGTATGTGTGTGCTGCGTGTGCGTGTGCGTCTGCTCCCTGTGTGCGCGTGTGTGTGTATGTGTGTTACGCGTATTGCAGGCGTTGTGTGTGATTATATGTGTTGTGTGTGGTGTGTTGTCTGCGGAATACACAGGCATACACAAATATATGTATATGTGTGTGTGTGTGTGTGTGTTTGTGTGCTGCGGGTTTTCTGCTGAAATTACGTCAGGGTTCGATGTTTGGAGGATGTCTCCAACGAAACGGCACTGTTCTGAGAATCGTGTTCTCAACAGGGGGCAGCTTGTGGGAAGATGTCTCAGGCGAAGCTGCAGGGTCCAAAGAATCTCGAGCTCCGGATCATTGAGAAACATTGCTGGGGGAACGCATAATGACATAAACATAAAACCTCGGAAGTCCGCGCGGACCTCCGAGTTTCTATGCTCATGTCGTCCTTCCCTCCCCTGACTGTGTGTGGTTTTTGGCTTGCTCTCTGCCTTTTTCGGGAGCGGCCAAGAGGGGGGTGTCCAAGAGGGGGGGGTGCAAATCATGACCGGCGGCATGTGCGCGGCCCAGCAGGGGGGGCCAGGGACGTAATGAAACAAGCAGAGGCGCCATGAGCTCTGGGGAGATATCATGGCCCCCGCCATGATACCCACCCCCCCCGTAGTCATCCCCCCCCCCTCTTTGCCGCCCCCGACAATGATACCGAGGAGGAGGAGGAGGAGAGGAGGAGGAGGAGGAGGAAGAGGAGGAGGAGGAGGAGGAAGAGGAGAGGAGGAGGAGGAGGAGGAGGAGAAGAGGAGGAGGAGGAGGAGGAGGAGGAGGAGGAGGAGCTGCCCCCGACTTTTGTTGGCTGCCTCGCCGATGCCGCCGCCGCGGAAAAGGGGCCGGAACCGGGCCCCCCCGCGCCGGCCGGGTCGCGCGGCCGCCCCAGAGGGCGCGAAGGGCGCCCTCCGGGGGAGAGCGGGGCCGCCGCAGGGCTTCCTTGGGGAAGCGCGCGGCGCTCCCCGACGCCTCCTCCTCCCCATCCTCCCCCTCCTCTTCCTCGTCGTCCGTCGTCCTCCTCCTCTCCTCCCTCCTCTCCTCCTCCTCCTCCTCTCCTCCTCCTCCTCCTCCTCCTCCTCCTCCTCCCGCGCGGATTTCTCAGATCCGCGATGAAGCCCCATGGCGGCGCCTCCGGCGCCGCCCCTGGCGCGCTCCGCGCTCCAGGGAGGGGGGCACTAGCGCCGATCCGAAAAATCTGCGCGGACCTCGAAGTTTTCTGTTTGTGTCATTATTCGTTTTCCGATGCCTTTCACACAGTCTTTCGGCGGCGAGCGAGGGGCGGGGAAGTGAGAAGGAGAATGCCTTCTCAGAAGGCGGCGGGACTTCTCCGAAGCCCTGGCGCCCTCTGAGAGGTTGTCTGTGTGTCTTCGGGGGAGGCTTCGGAAACTTCTCAGAAGGCCGGGGGACTTCCAGGCCTTCTGACAAGGCCGTCTCCTTCTCAGCTACCCCCCGGGCTCGCCGCCGAATCTACCTCGTCCCTGCCATCCGCCTCGCACTCGAGCGCCGGGATCCCCCATGATCCCCTACCTGCCCTTCAGTGGTGGCAGCGTGCTCGACGAGCGCTTGCCCCTGTCGCCCAAGGCCTCCGCGGCGGGGCGGTCGTCGGGGGCGCCGCCGGGGAAGCGGAGGTCGTCGTCGGGCTCCCCGCAGTGGTCGGCGACCAGGGCCCTCGCCTCACGCAGCGGCACCAGTAGGGCAGCGGCCTCCGGGACGCCCTCCAGGTGCGGCTCCGCGCGCCGCAGCGCCTGCAGCAGCGTGTCCGGCGCCGGCAGCTCCTCGTCCCGCTCCTGCAGAGGAGGGAGGCGTATGCACATCCTCCTCCTCCTCCTCCTCCTCCTCCTCCTCCTCCTCCTCCTCCTCCTCCTCCTCCTCATCATCATCATCATCATCATCATCATCATCATCATCATCATCATCATCATCATCCCCCTCCTCCTCCTCCCCCTTCCTGGGCAGTCTCCCTGGGCACGTCGCTCCCGCCCGTCCCCCCTGGCCGACGGCACTCGGCCCGACGCGGCTCCGCGCATCGCAGCTGCCCCGATGCACAGCGCGCAACGCGTGGCGTGTTGGCACGGCGCCCAACGCGTAGACAGAGGACGTGCTAGGACGCGATACGCTCGCCAAGACGTGGGCCCATAGGCCGAGCCAGCACGCCACGTATGGGCACGAACGTGTTCAGCACGGGGCGCGCTGGGCGGCAGAAGCGCAAGCTCTGAGAGGTCCGCGCGGCTTCCTTGGATCTGCGCTGGGCCCTCCCTCCCTGGAGCGCGGAGCGCGCCAGGGGCGGCGCCGGAAGCGCCGCCAGAGCGCCCCGGCGCAGATCCAAGAAATCCGCGCGGAGCGCCAACGGCTTGTGTTGTGTCGTGTTCTTATTCCGGGGGACGTCCGGCTCGGGTTGGGGGGACTCGGGCTGGCCTGACGGGGCCATCATGAAAATGACGAGACCCAGTCTGAAATTTGACGCGAACGCTCGCTGCAGACATCCAACGAACTGGACCGTCAAAATGAAAAGCGCGCGCGTAAAAAAAAAAGTCGGCAAACCCGCATCCCGCCTTACTCGAGTCTTACGCTTCCCCGATTGTTCGGCCAGATGCACATGCACCGGCGCATGCGCCGTCCAGGCTGGGCCAGGGAAAAGCATGCGCCCCAGTCCTGGGCACGGGGTGGGCCTGGCCAGGACCTGTGTGTGTGTGCGTGTGTGTGTGTGTGTGTGTGTGTGTGTCTGTGTGCGTGCGTGCGTGCGTGCGTGCGTGCGTGCGTGCGTACGTGCGTGTGTGCGTGCGTGCGTGCGTGCGTGAGTGCGTGCGTGCGTGCGTGCGTGCGTGCGTGCGTGCGTGCGTGCGTGCGTGCGTGCGTGCGCGTGTGTTGTGTGTGTGTGTGTGTGTGTGTGTGTGTCTGTCTGTGTGTGTGTGTTGTGGTGTGTCTGTGTGTCTGTGTGCGTGTGTGTGCGTGCGTGCGTGCGTGCGTGCGTGCGTGCGTGCGTGCGTGCGTGCGTGCGTGCGTGTGTGGTGTGTGTGTGTGTGTGTGTGTGTGTGTGCGTGCGTGCGTGCGTGCGTGCGTGCGTGCGTGCGTGCGTGCGTGCGTGCGTGCGTGGTGTGTGTGTGTGTGTTGTGTGTGTGTGTGTGTGTGTGGCGTGCGTGCGTG